TGTGCTAGTGCTCACCTATAGCAGCAAAGAAAGAGCACAGTCAATCATTAGATCCTCAAAGGAGCTCAGTACAAGTAAGCCAGCTATTTCTAGGCTCCAGGAAATGTTAAAAACAGGCAAACTGAAGAGAAGCACAGTCTGAAGCAACAGAGCTGTTTTCAAGAGCGCACAGAAGTTAAACAGATTCCCAGTGGTAGTAGCTGAGGGCAGTCAGCATGGAGATTTAAGAGCAGGTTAAATGAGCTGTTTGTGGGAGTCAGGATTAAATGCCTTGGGAACTGGTAATAAGATATGTAACCTTTCATCTGGAGGTCAGAGTTTTGGACCAGGGCCAGCACAACAGAGACTGTCAATGGCATCTGATGGCTGTTTGCCTGTATGATAAGAGTGCTTGAATTTCACTCAGTTCCTTGTGCGAAAGCAAGAGCAACTCTGTGAAGTGGCTGTTTATGCCAGTTTGCCCTTTCTTTGGCCTTCTCACAGATGAAGGATTAAAAGCATCACAAGTACAATCTCATATCCCATCCCTCTGAGGGTGGTAACACCAGACTTTTGTTGATGTGGCTCTCTGGGAGATGCTTACACTGCTGCTATGTAGGTAACGACTCTAGTCCTGGCAGTCTGGCATTTTTTCACAAATGAAACGTTAAGGGAAGTTTTCAGGGTAAAAGTAATGGTATGACTTAAGCAGTGTTAGCTAATCACACAGGACATGGCTGTTGGCCTCTGAAGTCTGTATACAAATACAGTGTTGCACCTCGTACCTGTAAGCTAAAGTTCTGCAGTCTAACTGCTTTTTGTCTTTGAGTGTACAGGCAAGTTCTTTGTCCAGAAGGCTTTTCCTCTTTTACGTGGGGTGGAGAAAAGGACGTTCTGTAACCAAAGACTGCTGTATTTGCAGGTGATGGCAAATGTGTGATCTGTGATTCGTACGTGCGGCCCTGCACCCTCGTGCGCATATGTGATGAGTGTAACTACGGCTCATACCAAGGGCGCTGTGTGATCTGCGGGGGCCCAGGGGTGTCTGATGCCTACTACTGCAAGGAGTGTACCATCCAGGAAAAAGATGTATGTTGTCATCCAGTCTCCTGGAGAATTGCTTATGTCTTTGTTTAATAGTTATGCTTATCTTTAAAGGGACTTAAAGCTAGTGGTATTAATGTTAGGATGTTGGATGCTTGGCTTCTGCTCCCAGAACTGGCACTGGTTTTCATTACCTTGCACTTTTCTTTTTTTGTTGTTGGTTCCCAGTATTTGTGGAGCATTTTGAGATAGCAAGCATCTGTGTTCTGTATCCCATCCGATTCTGTATCCCAAAGGATCCTTGAGTGCTTTGCAATGCATGCTCACAGTTCGCTTCCTCTACATGCTGCTTGTTACCACATTCAGCTGTTATCTTACTAGATCTCTCAGCCTAAGTTTTATCAGCAGCAGAGATATTTTAAACGCTGCAAAGGCAGTGTCATGATCAGCTCCTTACTGAGTCTGTGATCATACCATACATGGTATGGTCATGCCACTGGCATGTATGGTACTGTAAGGCCTACAGTATCACCACCTGTGTTTACCTTTGTGTTACAGTAAAGTTAGCTCTTAGTGCCCTTTGTCCTTGCTCCACTAATTGTCTTTTACAAGCTTAGCATTTCTTGTATAATTTCAGTAGGGTGTAATTTTTTTAATTCTTGTCTGGAATGACCTATATTGTAAACACCTTCTTTTCTGCTAATTTCTTATTTCTATAATCAGTGCTGTTTAATTTTCTCTTTCTGAAAGATAGTTGCTGTGCCTGTGCCTGTGAACAAGGCAGATGTTCACTCTCTAGGTATGCAATAATATCCATCACAGTGAGTGCAAGTCATGAAGGACTGCCAATGTAGTAGGAAGACTGTAGGAAGACTGTAGGGAGATGCAGAAACATGATGCAGGATGCCAGAATATGGACCTGATGGAGAGTATCTGCTAAGAATTGTGTGGTTTTTGGGCTGGATCCTTTGCAAACACCATCTCCAGCACACCCTGATGTCAGCAGAGTGTGCTGACAAACAGTTCTGTTTGATTTGGAGGAACGTGCTCAGCCGACTGAGCTGCTGCTTTAATTTTCTGCAGCACTCATATTTTCTCTAGAGGTCTTGCAGGGCAAACCCTCGTCTGAATTTAGTCAGTAGATCTGACAGGACCACAATCTTTCTTAGTTTCTAAGTATTATATGTGGATAGAAATGCTGTTGGTGGTGCTGCCTCCTATGTCTGAAAATGTGAGAAGCAGTAGTTTCGTTGACTTGTCTGTAAAACCAAGGCACTTGGTTTGACAGTTTATCAGTAAAATAGACGTGTGTTTTATTTTCACCAATTCATATTGATTCCTGATGGGTATTTTTCATAATCTAGTCTCATCTGTAGGTTCAGATGTGAAATAGCCTGCTGCTCTGGAAGGGAGGGTTATAGAGAATATAGAGCTGGAGGAGCAGAATAGCAAGGCAGAATTGAGGTATTTTGAAAGCTGGATGAAACCTGCTGTAGAAGACCATTGCCCTGTACCAGCAAACTCACATATTAGGAACTATTGCTAATGTGAATTTACAGATCTAAAAGAGCAAGTGACAAGATTGACTTGCAGGATTGAACAGAGCTAGTGCAGGTGTAGGTGTAGAGCACTCAGAGCAAGAACAGCCAAAGGTGGTACACATGACAATTACAATAGCTGGTGCTAACCTGAATAGAATAGGAGAAGCAGGCGGACGTAGCTCTGCATCTGAAGCTCTACCACCCTAAGGCTTCAGTCACAGCACTTATCTTCCTTCATCCTCAGAGGAAGACTGAAAAGGATCAGGAAGGAATAAATGAGATCTTAAAATGATGGAGGTGGATGCACTTAGGCATGCAACACAAAGGGCCTGGTTAGCCTTGGTTTGTGCCTCCCTGGAGAGAAACTGAGGTATTGTTTTACCTCAGTTCTGTCTGTGGGTAAGGTCCAAGATCTGCCTTGTCATCCAGGACAGATCTGAGTTGCAAAATATAATCCTTTCTTGGGGGTCAGGAGCATGCTCATATTCTACCTCCATGAGAGGGGGTGGAAGAATAAGCAGAGCCCTGCAGTAATGCTGTCAAGATTGTCACAGGCACCCTGGTTTGTGGGAGGCGAGTCTTGGAAGAGTCCTGCTGCTGAGGTTCCCAGTCAAATAACAAGACAGTAGCTAGAGATGGGTTGTGGCAGCTGATTTCCCCCTTCTACTCTTTTCTTGTTACTTTTACTCTGCAGACCCTCCCCAGCAGGTCACTTCTCCCATGCAGGAGCCAGTACTGGTGGCACAGCTTGAGTGCAGTTTCTGCAGCAGCTGACATCTGCCCAGAGGCTTTCTAAATGTAATCCGCTCAGCCTTATGCAACAGTCAAGGCCACGTGTTCCTCTGCCTGTTGGGCTCCTCAGCTGCTGTTGCCAGCCACAACATTTTGCCCTCAAGAGTTATGCAGATGCTGGGCTCAGGTGGCTCACTGACAGATGTTCCGTGGTTGGCAGAGAGGTACATGTCTCTGATTTGTGTTTGCAGCTATGCCTCTGAGATGGGGCTCTTCTGTCCCCCTTCTTGCATATGTTTTGTTGGTTTGTTTTTTTTTGTTGTTGTTGGTTTGTTTTTTTGCATACTTTCTACCGCAATTCAGGTACAAGATCTTAATTCACATATCTGCTCTGAATAACTGTCCTCTCCCAAGATGACCAGATAGTCTCTGAAGTAATCAATCTAACCTGCAGGAAATCTGAGATTTGCTTTTGCTGTCACAGCTGAGAGTGGTCTCAACACTAGAGTGGCTTAGTGACATCTAAAGCAACAAGATTCTTTGTGGCTAAGGAGGGGAAAGGTTATTTCTCTGAGCCTCATAAATCCTCTGTATCCTAATTTAGAAAGAATCCAGTCTTGAGGCACCGAGCATCCTTTTCATTAAACTGTTGTATGAGCTGTTTTCCGTCTTCACCCTGAGGAGGAGAGACTGTTCTAGAGTAGTGTTAAAAAGGCATCCACCCTTTTTCTTCTTGCCAATAGTAACCAGAGTTTGAGGGCAGTCTGTCTACACAGGTGTTTGAAATGTATGTTGAGGACAGGGTGGGGAGAGAGGGACCTGGGATGAGTCTCTCAGAACTGTGTATGTGATGCTGGTGTTCTGTTTGCTCAACTCCCACTTCACTTTCTCCTTTCTTTTTGCAGAGAGATGGTTGCCCTAAGATTGTCAACCTGGGCAGTTCCAAGACAGATCTCTTCTATGAAAGGAAAAAATATGGATTCAAGAAGAGGTGATCCTATCTGTTCCAGGCTATACTTCCTGTCAGGTTTGCAAGAGGGTCTTGGAACATCTCTGGACTTTACTATTATTGAAAACCAGCTGACTATGTTTTCTAAAGCAGTACAAATTCAGTAGTATCTTTGGGGGCTGAGAAGGGACTGAAGCCTGATTGGAACTGACTATCAGAAAGAGTAAAGTTGTTTTTTCAGTAGCTTTGCTAGAAGCTGTCTCAACTTAATTAAAAATATCCTGGTGGGCAATCATTTGCATATGGAGAAGACTGGCTCAGTAAAAACCAAGTGCCCTTGCTGGTGTGGAGAAATGCTCTGCTTCCCTACTTACCAGGTCTCCCCTCAGCTGTTAGAAATCGCCCCACACGTTGGCATTGAAGCAAGAGGGCCAGTCCTGTGTGTCTGCTCCCCATCTCTTCCTCCAGTATATTTCCATGATGCCCTGTTTTGTGAAAAAGCTAGCACCATTTGTGGCTGGTGCTTTCCTAGGGAGAGCGCAGCTGTTCCATGTTTTCTTTGACAGATTAATCCAAGGCCCTTTCTGTAACCCGTCCTGTAGGATGCATACCAATAAAGCTACTTCTCTTGTTTTTTATTTTTTGTGTAACAGAAGGATTTCTCTCTGGTTCATTCTGTGCTTAGCCTCTCTGGAGCTTTCTGGGGACACAGAGGATTAGCCCAGCTAGAACTGTACAATGGGTTATCAGGTTTCCGACGGTGTCTGCTTATGGCCATGTGACCTTGCTACAAGGAGCTTCAGGGAACGGCTGTTGCTTTTGTGCTTGTGTGATCCCAGCCACTGACCATTTTGTCCCGTAGCGTGAGGATCGCTGAGCTTGTAACCCTTCTCCTAGCTGAAACGGCTGTGGATGTTGTTTCACCATGCAAACATCCAATCCCTTTCTAAAACCTACTAAGCTATCTGACTCGCTGTCCTGTTCTTGTGAATAAGTTAAAGCCTTCCCTGCCGTAACTGGAAACCAACTATTGTGCGATAGGCTATTAGCTGTATGCATGCTGAAAACCAGGGGCTGCTTGTTTGTCAAATACCAGCGCAGGCTAAAAGTGGTCTGTTTGCTCAGCAGAGATCTGGAAACGGGTGCCTTTACACAGAGGGATAACTGCGTGTGTGCCCCAGGTGGTTAAATTAGAGCTGTACCATGCCCCGTGGTCCTTGAGGTCTTTGTAAAGCACTGTGTGTGCTGCATTTAGGGCAGTCACTGTCTGTGTGAGGCACCTTCTGGGATTTCAGTTGTTCCCCTGAAGCTAGTATTGATTCCTCTAGCTCCTCTCTGATTTAAACGTTTCTTCTGCCTGTGGTAGCCACTTAGGTATTTCAGCTAAGAGAAAACAAGGAGACAAACTGTGATCTTCTTTCCCATACAAGTCATTTCTTTCTGCTATAGCTGGCTCTAGCTGTGAGTGGTCCTACAGCTATCTCAGCTGTTCCTTCCTCCCCATCGACAATTAACTCTATTTTTCTCTTCCAAGCTTTTTGCAGTCTTGAGAACACCTGTGTGTCTTCTTCCCTGCACCTTAGTTCCCTTGCACACCTTCTGGTTAATTTTTACTAATGTGGATGCTATTTGTCAATATACTCAGAGCAAACCAGTTCTCTGGTTCCAGCAAACCCACTCTTTGAGTATTTCTGCCTCAGTAAGTGGCTGTCTCTTGTTCCTGGCTGGGAAGCTCATGTCAAAGTCGTTGTCAGCTGCTTTAAATTCTGTATTTCTTTAAAACTATGACATGCAGATTTTTTTTTTTTTTTTTTTTTTTTTGTACATTGAACTTTATCACTTCAGCCAGCATTTATCAGTTACTCTCAGTCAGGCTGCCTGGGTTATCACACAAGGAATGCAGCAGGTTAGTACGTATCTTTTCTGCTTTCTTTTCTTTCCCTGAAGTTTTTTAGATGAGAAATGTCATTCAATGAAGCCAGTGGGAAATGAAGTTTGAATTTCTTTTTCCTCAGAGCTGCTGCCTCTAATGCAGGGCACACTAGAAGATCTAATTTTGGAGCAGCCCTTGTTCCTGACCATTTAACCAGGGGTTGCTATAGAGATCTGAGAGCCCTTATCCCTTCCCCCACCCCAAAAAGGGCTGAGCACACTTACTTCCTTGGCACTCCTGCTGCCTTCGCTCTGCCGGGTGTATCGGGTGTATCGGTCTGCATTTGGCAGCAGCAAGAGCAAAGCTGCCATTTCTAGTTGTTCTGAGTCACTGGGCAGGTGGAGAGAGGGAGGGACAGGCGCTTTTCCCTTTGCCTTGTTTGCTCAGACAGCTCCGGGGAGAATGCCAAATGCCGCTGCTGCTCAGATCGGTTCAGTGCCACTGCCTTTCTGGTACTTTCAGAGCACGGATGGGACATTGCCCTGGAGCTGCTTATTCAGACAAGGGTAACGGATACAGCTGGGTAGCCCAGAAGAACTCAGCTTTGCTTGCATGGCAATGATTTCTGTTCACCAGTGAATGATACCCACGCAGGGCTACCAGTATTTGTTACCTAAAGAGATCAACAAAACAAAACTCATTGAAATCACTCTTGCCCAGTAGATTTCCTGTCAGTACTGCATCCCAGAGCACATAGTAAAGGAGTGATGAGGGAGGGAATGGGACGAGGAGTGTTCTGCTGTGATGCTTCTCCAGAGGCAAACAGCACACCAGCCTTGGTGCTCCTGGTGCAGGCAATTCAGGGGCTCCCTGGCTGCAGGTAGGGGACAAGGAGAGGTGGAAGAGATACTGCCTTTCCCATAGGGCTGAACTCCCATAGTGCTGACTGCAAATCCTGAGTGCATAAGGCTGAACGTCTTCCTGCTATTACTTTTCTAGGTAAAGTTAGTGCTTTTTTTTTTCTTAAATCAAAAGGATGTTATGTAATAAGTAAAAAATCCTTTTATTTTAAATGTTTACACAGAGGGGGAGGAGAAACATGGGGACTCTTGGCCTATTAGGTAATTGGCCTCTGTTGCCAGTACTAACAAGGCATCGCTGCCTTGTGAAACAGGGATGTTCCCTACACACCCCTTCCAACCAAAGGCCAGCCACCGTGTCACAGCTCAGTTCTGAGCTCAGCAGCAGCTCTCCAACGCACCTCCCGTCATTGAATCGTCTCATCAAGGGCATCGACAAAGCCCTTGAGCCTGAAACATGACCTTTAAAAAGTGCTGAGGGCTGGCAGATGCCTTGAGCCAACCTCTGAGCTTTCCCTGCACATAGGTGAAATCCTGCTTTCAGAAACCTCACCTGCAGAGGAGACGTTGCTTCCTCATTATGGAGATCAGCTGGAGATGTTTTGCCTATTTCCATAGCAGGAAAAAGAAATCCATTTCCTTGAGGTTGTCGTGTGACTTGGATGTAAAGAGGATTCAGGGTACGGCGGTGTTAATTATGCTGATTACAACCTGACTGCCCTTCCTCAGCATTGATGAGCCCAGCAGGACTTACCTTGCCCCTGCGGCTGGGCCATTCCTGTCCTCTTTGTGTGGACCTGTTGGCTGTGCTTTGATGTAACACCACACAACCGGGAATGCAGGAGCGGATACAGGGACAGGATTCCTCTTCACGCACGTGGGCCAGCGCAGCTAGGTAATTACAGGAGCGTGGTCAAGATGCAAATATCTTCAAGAGTCCTAATGTGTAAACACCCTCTTAGTAACACCTTATTAAAACAACAATAGAATTTTAGCAATGTAATTGCCATTTTTTCTTAACGATGCCAAAAATAGTGCCATCGTTTTAATTTCCTGATTGCTGGCTGACAGCGTGACTTTGTTTCCAGCCAAGCAAATGCTTGGTGTTCCAGCTCTTTTGTAGCTGAGTTCCTGTTAAACTGCAAGTGATTAACCTAGCTCCAAAAGTAGCCCTGTTCTGTGGCAAACCTCAGGTTCCTCAGATTACAGGAAAGATTCAGGTCCTTGAGACTTCAGGAGAGGTTCAGGTTGGATATGAGGAAGAATTTCTTGTCAGAAAGAGTGGTGCAGCAGTGGCACAGGCTGCCTGGGGGAGATGGTGGAGTCACCATCCCTGGAGGTGTTCCAGAACCGTGTGGATGTGGCACTGAGGGATGTGGTCAGTGGGCATGGTGGGGGTGGGCTGACCATTGGACTCAATTTTCTTAATAGCCTTTTCCAACTTAGAAATTCTAAGGTGAAGGGCTCCCGATTGAGGCAAGACAAGCAAAGCCCAGAAAGATGCTGAGGATCTCTGAGGGAGCAGGGTGGGAGAGGAGCTCAGTATTTGGTGTCAGGGGACAGTGGCCATGGAAAGCTATCTGACCAGGGGATGGGGAACTGCTCTTTGAGGTGGTCTTTGGCCATTCTGAAAACAGGCAGTGAAAGAAACGTTTGCACGTACGGCTGTGTACTGAGGAGATCCTATTACAAGAGAAATGCCGCTATGCGATGGAACGTTCCGTGGGAATTCTTTAGAACTCAAGGCTAGGGACCCCGCACCACTGACGGCACGGCCTTGCTGTGCTGGGAACTACACCTCCCAGCAGACCCCGCGCCGAACCCGCCCCCGCCCCGCGCGCACACCCCCTTCGGCTCATTGGCTGAGGCAGCGCACCAATCCGGACGCGCCGCCGGGCCCGGCCGGCCAATGGGGAAGCTGTTGCTAACAAGCCTCAGTTATTTTTAGCACACCGCCGTCGGCGCACCTTGCGGCTCGCCTCCGCCGTGGCCGGGCCGGGCCTATTCACGGCGGCGGAATCGCACAGGCGCACTGTGAACAAGTAGTCCGCGAGCGGCGGGGCGGGGGCTGCTCCCCACACGGAGTCCTTTCAGGAGATTAGCGACCACAGGCGGGGGGGGGGGGGGGGCGGGATCCCCGGGGTCGCGGGACTCATTCACAAGGGTCGGTGCGTGGGAGGCAGCGCCGAGCCGCGTGTGCCCCTCAGTGAAGCCGTGGAGCTTCCCTCCTCGGGTCAGCCACCTGATCCTCGCTAAGGCCCCCGCCCCCTGCCTTCCCTAGTGCTGCTGCTTGCCCCTCTGCACAGCGTGAAAAAAGCGAAAGAAAAAAAAGAAAGAACTCCTTCCCCTCCCCCGCGGGCTCAGCGCGCCGCGCGGCGCTGAGGGGAGGGGATGTAGTTCCGGCCCGCCCCTCCGCGGCCGCATCACGCGGGGCGGGAGCGCGGATCCGTGCGCGGGGTTGCTAAGGGTGAAAGTTTGCCGTGAGTTGGCTCACTCGGGGCCAGGGCGCGGGCGGCTCCAGGCCGGCGGGGGTGAGGCGGCGGCCGTACTCCAACCCACACCTCCGGGCGTCCCTCGGCACCTTCGGCCCTACAGCCGCGACGCCACCCCCGGGCCCGCCCCGCGGAGGGAGCGCAGCGCTCGGCGGAGACAGAGAGAAGCCAGGGACGGAGCGGAGAGCGGTACGCAGAGCCCAGGCTCCCCCGGCCCCCTCAGAGCCTGGAGCTGAGGAAACAGTGAGTGGGGCGGAGGGCTCGGACCGACTGGGTGGGCCGCGGGCGGCGTCCTGGGGCTTTCCGTGCGTCTTAACGGGGTCGACAGGCTCTGCCCGGCCGCGCGCAACAAAGCCGCCGCTGGTTCTTGCGCCGGGGAGGGGGCCGGGAGGGCTCCGCCGGCGGCCCGGGGGTGTCCTTTGCTGCCGGGAGTGGAGGTCAGGCCCGATTCTGTTCTCCTGGGGCCGCCTTGGGGGTCTCGGCCTGAGGGGGGGCCGCATCGCCTTCTCCTCCCCTCCCCCCTACCGCTTCGCTGACAGGGAGAGGGAGGAGGAGGAGGAGAAGGGAGGGGGGCGGCTGCCCGGCGGTCCCCGGCTTCGGGGCGTTGCTCCGGGGCGGGCGGTGACACACTGCGCATGTGCCGTGGAAAATTTTTCGCCCTGCCCCACCGTGGCAGCGCTGGGGCGGCGGGCGGGGCCGCGCGCGGGGCGTGCCGGGAGTCGTGGTTCGGGGGGAAGTGGGTCACGGGGAAGAGGGGCGGCGCGGGGGGGAAGCGCGGACTGCAGCTCCCAGAGTGCCGCGCGGCAGGAGGCGGCCCCAGGGCTGGGCGGTAATGGCGGCGGTGGCACGGGGGCAGCCGGCCCTGGGGGAGCGGCCCGGGGGGTGGGGCGGCGCGGCCCCGGAGCATATGGATCCCCGGCTTTTCTTTGCCTGTCGCTGTGTGAATACGTGTTGGAAGGAGCTCGAGGGGTCCCGGGAGCGGGTTCTCTCCTTGTTAGGCGGGAGTGGTGGCTCTGGGCCTTTTGGAATGTCCCTAGGAGCCTTGGGGTTGGTTAACCCGTCTCAAGGGAAGGTTCAGAGTGTGCCCCTCTATGAAGAGAGCGGACTCAGTGAAAGAGAAAAAGGACCTGCAGACGGCTTGTGAGGGTGGGGAACCCTTCATTCCCCATCTGTGAGCCCGACTCTCTCACTAATACTGGGTCTGGGTTAGCATTTAGCACACGGGATGTAAAGATCTATCAAGAGGCCGTTTATTTTCCTGCTGAATTTGCTGGGGTCTCAAGCTGCCCGCTCCTAGGGGACCTCATAGCATGCAGGGTTTTTTGGAACCTCCCTTTGGGGTAGCACAGGGCTTTGTGAGCCCTCTTTGAGAGGTTACTGTGATCCTCCAGGGCTCTGCTCAGTGCCCCTTTCTCTGCACAGGGCTCTGTTTCAGCCCTGAGGCTTCTGCCTTCTGGAAATGATTCCTCCTTTCTGCCTGCTGGAAGCTCTGCTTTCTTATATTCTCTTCGGTGTTCATCCATTCTTGGTCAGGCCCTGGTTTCGTTCCTGTGGTTTCTCATGTTGCTGAGTTAAACCTAGAGGGGATTCCTCCAGCACTGGCCTTGCTATTAGCAAGCTTGGGCTGTGGGATTTGCTATTTGTTCCTTAAACTGAGCCTTCTTTGACTGCGATTCGTACAGAAAGAAAATGTAGAATCTACCTGTTTGTTTTACTTAGTAATAAAGCCTAAAAATAGTTGAGGGTTTTCTTAAAATGTGCTTTATTTAATCCTACTTGTCCACTCAGTCAGCCCAAGCCAACAAGTCTGGGCGGTTCCTCCTAGCCTGGGTGCGGGGCTGTGCTGCTGGGCTCCTGCTTTTTTGGGGGAATGCTGACAGCTGAGGTTTATGCTCCATCCCCACCCCCAGATAATTGGCACAGGTTGCACTGCCGGGCACTGCATGAGAGCATCCCTGCAGCCCATGTTAGGAAGGCAGCTGAGCGTGGTGTGGCTGCTTGAGCAAGGTGAGGGTAGCTGAAGGCTGAGCAGCCTCTGACGAAGCTGCCAATTAAAAACTGGATATTCTGCTCGCCTGCAGAGAGGTGTGTAGGCTGCTGGAAGCGCGCTTCCTCGTCAGGTATCTGTGGGATGCGCTTGCTCTGGGTGGGTGACAACGCATGGTGCAGTCCAACCGAGGGACTGTACACAGGTAAAAGCTATTCCTAAATCTGAGTGTAATGGGAGAGCTGTGTGTTGTGATTTCACACTGTGCTTTTGTGGATTCTCTCAATTTCAAAGACTTCTTTGGGTGGGTGAGAGGAGAGAAAGGATTACTTCAGTCTCTGGCAAGCAGTTCCAGTTTTTATTCGGTACCTGGCCCTGGCAGTGCTGAACTGCTCTCTGCGCAGGGAGAAGGATGTGAGCAGTGCTGGACAAGCTGGTGGCACATTTTCTGCCCCCATCTGAATTAAGTTGAGATTTCAGGCTTGTGGCTAGACTGAGCCTCAACTGGGTATGCTTAGTAAGATGTCTACGTGCTTGCCAGTCAAGGGAGAGTAAACATGGTCTGGCAGCTGGTGCCTCTGCACCCTCTCTTGTTCCTTATCCTCCTGCCTGTTCCAATAGGACATGGTGCTCCTGGCCTCCAAAGGAGAGCTGTCTCCATTCAGGTCCTTGCAGAGCTGCTGAGGGAGTCACGAGGCTTCCAGGTGGTGCTCGTGTGCTTGGAGAAGCAGCTGCAGGGAGCTGTTCTGGAAGCAACCGAGTGCCAGGGCGTAGCGAGGCATGTTGGCTGAAATAGCTCTGCCACAGCAGGCAGTCGGCCTGCCTGCTTTTGGCAGCAAGGTGGGTACACAACACGTAGCTTGTGCAGGGAGCAGCCACACTCCTGTTTCTTCTGCACAGGACCGGGGGCGCTGCTCCTCAGCAGCACCAGGAAATCTGGGCTGACGCCTAGTGAGCATCGCTGCTTGTTCTGCTTCTGCTAATGAAACAGTGTGGCTGTTTGTCTCAGTAAGTGGAGAGTTGCTGTATTTTTCTTGTCTTCATCTATATTTTTCTTTCTTTTTTTTCTAGGTCTGCTTGGAGCCAAATCTTGTCTATGTGTGTGTCATTTTGTCTCTTTTAATACACTGCCCTGACTTGCTTGCTGTGAAGGGAGTATGCATCTGGAGATTAAAGTTGCCCTTAACTTCATCATCTCATACCTGTACAACAAGCTTCCTCGGAGGCGGGCAGACCTGTTTGGTGAGGAGCTAGAGCGCCTGCTGAAGAAGAAATATGAGGGTCACTGGTACCCAGAGAAGCCTCTGAAGGGCTCAGGCTACCGCTGCGTTCATATTGGGGAGACGGTGGACCCGGTAGTGGAGCTGGCGGCCAGGCGGAGTGGGCTGGCCGTGGAGGATGTGCGTGCCAACGTGCCGGAAGAACTGAGCGTCTGGATCGATCCTTTCGAGGTCTCCTACCAGATCGGTGAGAAGGGCTCCGTAAAGGTCCTCTACCTGGATGACAGCGAGGGCTGCAGCGCTGCTGAGCTGGACAAAGAAATCAAAAGCAGCTTCAACCCTGACGCCCAGGTATTTGTCCCCATTGGCAGCCAGGACAACTCGCTGTCCAACTCTCCATCCCCCTCTTTTGGCCAGTCACCGAGCCCCACCTTCATCCCTCGCTCTGCCCAGCCCATCACCTTCACCACTGCCACATTTGCTGCCACTAAGTTTGGCTCCACCAAGATGAAGAAGGGCGGAGGGGCCGGAGGAGGGGGTGGCGGCGCAGGGGCCACGCAGCAACCGCGGATGGTCAGGTCGCCCACTACCAACCTGCTGAAGCACAAGGGCCTCTCCCTGTCCATGCACTCTCTGAACTTCGTCGGGAGCGCTGGGAGCCAAGCCCCGCAGTCGCAGCTCTCCCCCAATGCCAAGGAGTTCGTTTACAGCGGCGGCTCGCCAGGGGCCAGCAGCCTATTCTTCGACGGTGTTGCCAGTGAGAGCCAGGCCAGCATCCCTCCAGCGTCGCAGTTCAATGCTGGCACAGGCAGCACCTTTGATATGGCTCAGGTCTTCGGCGGCAGCACCAACAACCTCTTCTTGGAGAAGTCTCCCTTTGTGGAAGGACTCAGCTACAACCTGAACGCCATGCAGTATCCCAGCCAGTCCTTCCAGCCCGTTGTCCTGGCCAACTGAACGCAGGGAAGGAGAGTATTGGGGGCAGGGGAGGGAGGGGGGGAACAACAACAACAACAACAACAAAACACATGGGGAGAGAAAACAGAAATATACAGAAAATATTCAAATCTTATAAATATAGCTTCTTGGAAAAAGAGAGAACCCAGTGTTGTTGCGCTGTGCTGGCAACGCTCCTGAAGCACTGACTTGTTTTTTTTAAATTCAGTCCCTGTGCTTTTTCTCCTACTCACTTTTTTACTCTTTAAATGAGTCTCTGGTCTCTTGGGTTGTGTTCCCCCTTCCCCAGCCCCAGATCGGCACAGGTGTAGGTCACAGTGCTCCCTTTTCACTCCCACCTGGCTGTAGGAGGGGCAGGCAGGATGAGGTGGGCTTGCTTTGCTGTTACTGCTGTGTGTGTGGGAGGAGAGCATCTCATGTGCCTGGAGGTTCATACTGCTGCACTGCTGTTGCTCCAGGCTAGCATCCAGTTCTGTCTGTGCTGAGAAGCATCTGCTGTCCCCTCTCATCTCCAGCTATGGGAGGACAGCAGTCCCCTTTGTGCACCGATCAAGAGGCTTTTCTGTGCCCTTCTGGGGTTGGTTTGGAGGATAGCCCTGCAGCAGAGAAGCACTGCAGGTCTGTCCCTGTGTGAGGAGGTGGTGCTGAGCTGTTGGATCCTGTCCCTTCCTGGTGGACACCCTACCTGCAGGGCTGAGCATTCACTCATGATCCTTTGGTCCTAAGTTTTGAGCTCTTGTTGCCGGCTGTGGATTTGTCTTCATCTTGGAGAGGGGATTTTTTTCAGTAGTTAGAGGCAGCGCTATTTTGGAGAAGAAAAAGGGCTGTGTTGTTGAAGCTGCTGTCTTGAGCAGTGGTAAGTGGTCTACAGGTCACTTCTGTGCCAGGGTCTGGGCCCCCAGGTGGGGCTGGAGGACCCTTGGGTGTGAAGGAGCCTCCTTGGAGGCTGTGGTGGGAGCGCGGAAGAGTGCGGAGAGGAGAGAAGCAGTCATGAGACTCCAGTTTTTGACGTTGAAAAGAAAAGTGAGCTTTTTGCTGCCTGCCAGGCTGGGGGTTTAGTTCTCTTGAAACGGTGTCTCTGGAGCACACTCTGAAACCCACTTCTGTGGCTGCTGTACCATTGTGCTCCTTCAGGACATCCCCGTTCAGGCAGGTGGTCTGCAGCTTGTGCTTTTTCCCTCTCCTTGACCCAAGATGAAGGCGTGCCAGCCCTCCTGTTGTTGCCAGTGAGCCTTTGCAGAGGCAACGGGATAGGTGTGGGGTGCCATTGCTGCCACAGCCCTGAGGAGCATTTCCATCCTGGCGGGGCAGGCCCCCAGCAGGCTGCTTGCTGCCATCGGGCTATGAGCGGCACGGCGGGCCGGGCTCACTTGGCTTCTCCTAAAATGGCGTCCGTAGCTCAGCCCTGCGGGTTTCCAGGCTAGAGCAAGCTGCTCAGGAACAGCTGAGCCATCTGCATCTTTCTTTGCCTATTCTCTTTGGTTTTTAACCTACTTACGGATGTTACCACTGCCACCCTCTCCCTGGGAGCGCACTACTGACTGCCAGGCCCCCGCTCTGGGACCCGGCTGTCCCCAGTGCTGGCAGCGCCACCTGCCAGTCGCTGCCGCGGGACAGCGGACCCCTTTGGCACCTCTGGGGAGAGGCAGGGAGCCCCGGCCCTGTGCGTGTGAAGCTTCGATGCCGCTTTGCCCCCACAGCCACGTTGGGAACCGTGGTGCGAGGGGAGGGAGGGACCAAGCTCTGTTTTAAACAAGTGTGCTTCAGAAGCGTTCCCCCGGTGTCAGGCAGCGATGGAAACTAGCAGCCTTTTCAGGGCTTTTCTAGTCTTGGATGTAGGCGTTCAGCTTCAATTTTATTTTTTAAAACCTGCACTAATTTACCTGGTTTCTTAGGGAGAGAAGAGAGACTTTCTTTTTTTTTTTTTTTTAACTTTTATTTTTTATGGGTTTGTGTTCTTTTTGTTGATGTCCGTTTGTATTGAATAATTTGCTACATTTGTAAAATGCAAGAGGTATATATAATATATGTATATTTCTAACGTAAAAAAAAAAAAAAAGAAAAATTGTAATTTTTTTCTTTTCAAGATTTTTTCTTAAAAAGAGGAGAGAGAAAAATATTTTTTCAGGAAAAAAAAAACCTTAAAAAACAAACAAAACAAAACAAAAAAAAAAGGCAGTGAAGATTCCTTTCTCCCCTGCTCAGCCTCCTCCTGTCCCTCCCACCCCACTGCCAGCAGTGAATGGGAAGTTGCCCTGTGGAGAATGAATGAATGGAAGAGGTCCATGCTGCTCTGGGTGGAGGATCTGTGTGTGCTTTGGCGGTTCCTTTCTGAGACAGGGGGGGCTCTGAAGGGGGGGGATTTGGGGGACTGATGGCTTTTTTTTTTTTTTTCTTTTTCCATTTTTTTTCTTTTTCTTTTTTTTCTTTTCTTTTTCTGTAGCGAAGGAGGAATACAATCAGAGTTTTGTATTCAGAATGTTGTGCAATATTTTGGAACGGGACATTGGCGTGTCTAGAGATTTAGTTAAAAAACAAACAAACAACAAAAAAAAAAAAAGGTTGATCAAATCTGTACAGTTTCTATTGTTCCAGATTTTTTTAAGTTTGTATTAAAAGCATGATATAATAACTGCTCGTCATGTGTTGCTGTCCGGTGGGATGTGCTAATGGAGGTGCTGCTGTGCTGGGCACACCTGGTGCTGCCTGGGTTTGTGCCAAGGGCAGCTCCCCAGGAACGGCAGTGGCTGCCCCACAGTGAGGTTCAGTGCCCTGGGGAGGGGGAAAGCAGGGAGCAGCGCCTTTGGCTGCACTGCCCTCAGGCCCTTCAGGCAAACCAGTTGCCAAAATAGCTGGCTTCCTGTAGCAGGCTGCCAGCAGGAGCAGCTCCTGGCAGCCTGCAGCCCTTGGGTCTGAATTTCTTCCTGGAGAAGCTAGTGCTGCTTTGCCCTTGGGTTTGCAAGCCCCGGGAGCCAGGCACCCTGCACTCCATGTGACTGTCACGCTGTGCTAAGCAACAACGCTGGTTTTTTTCCTCTTTGTGTCTTGAACCCCTTGTAATCATTTATCTGAAGTGTGCACCAACTCTTGCCCTTCACCATGTTGCTGGAAATGGAAAAGGGCAGCTGTACCTGCCTGCTCCTTTTTTCTTTTTTTTTGCCTGGCTCTGACACAGGCCCTTTTTGGGCACAGGTGTGCAGAAGGGCAGTGCTTGCAGTTAGTTCAGAGCTGATAGCTGAGCAGGGATTAAGATGATGGGCTTGGTATCACCTTGTTCCTGGTGTTTGCCCTTGCCCTGTCTCAATGAGCAGGGTGTGTGATTGTTGGCTGTGAGCGTCATACCAAGCCAGGGTGCTGAGCAGATCAGTTCCCAAATGGGGTGCAATATGTGGCAGCGAGGTGGGGCTCATCTGCTGGAGCCAGGGGGTGGTTTCAGCAAGGCAGGGGTGTGGGGATGTCATTCAGATGTTTGTTGCAGGAAGCTCTGCTGCTAAGGAGGAAAACTTGCAACTTGAGTCACCAGGCAGTCAACTCTAAGGAGAAGGCAGCTTGGGTAGGGAATGCCATGCTTACCCCTGCACTTTTCAGCCTGTGACAGCAGCAATCATGGCACAACTGCCTTATGCAAGCGTGGAAAGCCAGTAAGACAGCTGTGCACTGGCCTGTGTTGTAAATACAGGCCCATGGAGAGCAACCCAAGTTTGCTCTGGCTGGTGAGCACTTGCTGCTGCCCCAGAGCCTTCGGTGCCATGGCATAGCTGGGGGCAAACACCACTTTGCGCAGGTGCCTTGCTGTGCCCTGGCTCTTGCACTAGGCCAGAACCAGGACATGGAAAAACACTGCAAAGCCCCTGCCAATGTGAATGCTGCTTCCTATCTGTACCACTTGGAGACAGCCAGTTTGTGCGACAGCCAATCCATGTGGCTGCAGCAAACAGTAAGAGCGACTCCAGCCTGGCAAGCGCGTGCTGGGAGGATGCGTGAGATTTTCCCATCGCCGTGGAGAGTGAAGGCAGTGAGACCTCCACAAAGAGATTCATGTCTGTATTTTGCCTGTAGGAGGGCCTGGGGGACCCTCACCTTCCTCATAAAACATTGAAAAAGCCCCTGTGGACACTGTCAGGTTTTTTTTTCCCACTTGATTTTGTTGAGCTGGCACAGGAGCCATGCTGCTGGTGCAGATCCCCATGAGGGAGTGTGTCCCTCTTGCTCCACAGGGTGTTTCCACCGAGGGCAAAGTTTTCCTTGGAGTGAATCAGCTAGCGAGCGCTTGCAGGCAAGTTGCAGCTGTGGCTCTCAGCAGAAAAAGCCAACACCCACAGGAGGCAGTAGGTAATGGGTGACGGGCAGTGCTGCTGCAGCCCTCCCAGCATGGCAGTTCCCACCTGGACATGAGCACCAAGTCGCAGTGCTGTCATCACCAGCGCTGGCACAGAGGTGTTCAGGTCCAAGGGGAGGACGTGACTCCATCATGGTCACACAGGGAACTCCGGGACCTGCCCATCTCTCCTGGTGCCTCTCATGGTCCCGAGTGGAAAGGAGAGGATGCTGAGGGATGCAGTCATTAAGGTTGGAAAAGACCACTGAGATCACCTAGTCCAACCATCGGCCCATCCTCACTGTGCCTACTGACCATGTCCCTCAGTGCCACATCCACACGGTTCTGGAACACCTCCAGGGATGGTGACTGCACCACCTCCCTGGGCAGCCTGTGCCACTGCTGCACCACTCATCCTGAGAAGAAATTTTCCCTCGTAACCATCTGAATCTCCTTCAGCATAACTTAAGGCCATTACTTCTGATCCTAAATAGAGACATGCTGGGGACAGGTGGTCAGTCCACCCCAGTCATGCCATTGCTAAGCATCTACTAAGGATCAATATTCCTTTAGACTAGAAACTTGCCCACTAAAACTATCTGGTCAATTTTTAACCTTAGAGTGAATCATTTTCATTCTCTGAAGTACTCTTTGACAAGTATTCTTTTCCTCGGGTGCTTTGTGAACTTTTTTATCAACTGGTGCTTCCTGTAGGTGGAAACCTTGTGGAAGCCAATGACTACAGTAGACTTCAACAGCTTTGTAGTAAGCAGAGAAGCAGAGAACTGCACATCTAACCAACATCTGCTCCACAACAGCTGCACCACACTGGCATTTGCTCCAGGAGAAACCCATTCACCACATCTCATTGTTCTCCCATTCATAGAGCCTGTCCTGTCCCCTCCCATGGCCGGGCAGAAGATGGGAAAACCCCAGTGGCCCCATGCTGACCTTGGCTTGGGTGTTCAGTGCCCTGCATTGCTTGGGGACAAAGTGCTGGCTGCCCTGGGGACACCGCACAAGTGCCAGGTGTCCCCAGCGGCTGCACATCACTCAACTTTCCTGGAAAGCAGGAGGAACTTGTTGTGCTGGTTCACTTAGGGACCACAGAGTCACCTGTGAAGCCTCCTGGGCCAATGTGGACTGGACCCTTCCCTTGCCTGTCCAGTACAGCTGCATAGCCAAGAACCAGTCAGGGCTGGACATCATCATCTAGAACACCAGCAGTGGCCCCTGAAGTTGCACAACTGCCTTCCCCCAGGCTAGCGTCTCACACGTACAGCTGATGGCAGCTGCCTGTCATCATCGTGGAGCCACAAAAGCAGGAACAAAGTGTCTTGATGGAGAAGTTCCTGAATGCTGGCTTGATCGATCCAGTCTTTACCTCCCCCTAGATATTGTCTTGGATGAAGATACATCACTGTTTTTGTCTCCTCAAGTACGGGGAATCATAGACTCACAGGATGGTTGGGTTGGAAGGGTCCTCACAGCCCACCCAGTCCCACTCCGTGCTGTGGGCAGGGCTGCCACCCCCCAGCTCAGCTACCCAGAGCCCCATCCAACCTGGCCTTGAACCTCCATGGCTGAGGCACCCACAGCTCTCTGGGCAGCTGTGCCAGTGCTTCACCACCCTCTGAGCAGAGAATTTCTTCCTAACGCCTGACCTAAATCTCCCCTCTTTTAGTTTAAAGCCATTCCCCTTTGTCCTATTACTATTTGCCCACGTAAAAAGTCACTCCCTCTCCTGCTTATAAGCTCCCCTCAAGTAATGAAGGGCCACAATGAAGTCTTCCCATAGCCTTCTATTCTCCAGGCTGAACAAGCCCAGCTCCCTCAGCCTCTCTTTGTGAGAGAGGTGCTTCAGCCCTCTGAGGATCTTTGTGGCCTCCTCTGCACCTGCCCAACAGCTCCAACATCCCTCCTTGTACCCAGGTCGGGATGTAAGGAGCTTGGGCCAGCTGGAGTGCCAGGCTTCCTGTTTTTTGGGGATGATGCTGGCAGGGGAATTGGTAACTACTGCTGCAGGAGGTAATTGTCACTTGGTGAATCTAACTCAGCAAGGCAGGCTGCAGGGCCTCTCCAGGGCTTCCTGCCCTTGGGCACAGCCTGCTCAGCTCCTGCCTGGAGCACCTCCTGGTGCCAATGCTCTTCACCAGGCGGGCCATAAAAAGGGAAGTGAAGGGATGCTTCTGCATCTCCACCTGTTTGCCACTGCATGTACCTGCTGCCGGAGCCCATGAGAAGACCCCAGGAGTGCAGCAGGGTTTCCCAGCAATCTGGATATGAGAGCAGGTAAAGCAACCACAGGTACCAGCACTCACCAGATGGGAATGCGCCCACCAGGAAACTTGGGAAGTTGGCCACAGCCACCTGCATGCAGCAATGTGCTGTTTCTATCAATGTCAGCATGGCATACAGCTGTGGGAGCTCAGGCTGTGCTGCAGCACGTGGCTCGGCTGGCACAAGTTTCCTGGTGTTGCTGCAGTAGCCCAATTAGTAGCTCAGGTGTTGCCACAGCCACTGGCAGTGGCCCAGGAGCTAATGACAGAGCAGGCAGCAGATGCAAGGATTGCACAGCTGGGGATGAGGGGAGCTGGACGGACGGCTTCTTCAAACCGGCCTCCACTCACAGCCGGGACAATGGGTTTTGCAAGGTGGATTCTTGCTTTGTTGGAAGTCTCCAAAACACCTTTCTGCCCTTGAAGGGTGCTGCATTCGGCTCTGCCACCCCTCCCAGGATGTCCAAAATTACCCTGGGATTACCAGGGTGGCCATACCCATGACCACTGGTTTAGAGAAGGAGGAAATCTCATTAAAGTCCAGAGGGGTTTAATCAGAAGCCAATTGGCAGTGGGGCATTGACACATCATGGGTGCTGATGCAATGTAATGACAGAGGGGCATCGAGGGCACTCAGTGGTGGAAGAGGCCTTTGCCTTGGCAAATTCCTGCCCTGTACCTCTGCCACAGATGTCCTTCTCCAGTGCCTGTGTCTCTCTTGCACTCAGTATCAAACTTAGTTGACTTCAGTGGATGCCAGCCCCCAAGTCAGCTGTGAAAAAAGGGGCAAAAGAGTTGTTTCATAGATTCATGGAATCAGTGAGGTTGGAAAAGAGCACTAAGATCATCTAGTCCAACTGTCCACCTAACCAATTCCCCCCACTAAGCCATGCCCCTAAGTACTACATCTACCCTTTCCCTATATACCTCCATGGACAGTGACTCCATCACCTCCCTGGGGCAGTCTGTTCCAACTAGCATCACTCTTTCTGAGAAGAAATGTTTCCTAATATCCAATATGAACCTCCCCTGGCA